TCGACCTCCCGAACCTCGAGCACCATCAATGACAAGAGACGGGGATCCTTCGACTGCACACTGCAAACTGCAGAAGCCGAAAGGGTCATGAAGCTCATCCACGCAATCCCCGGATATGATTCGCTGGCCAATTTCTGCTGTCTCACGGACTGGGAGAAGGATCAGGTATTCTCTCATTATCGCAGGAAGAACAACATCACAGGGGGTGACGCCAGCATGGGCACTGATGCCGATGCCAAGCCAGGTGACGAGTCGTCGGCTCACCCTGGGGAGGAGGAAGCTGATGAGCCAGCGAACGACCCCACCGATGTGGTCAGGGACTCAGAGAATTCCGGGAAACAACAACTTTTGGATGCGTTGGGAAAACTCTTCACCGTCTCTGAGGATGTCAACGTGTGCTTGTATTGTGGTAGCACCCAACATGGCCATCTTGAATGTGAACATGAGAAGAGAGATGAAGTCAGAAAAGTGCTAAAGGCCGTCCGAGCGTCGCTCGAGGCTGATAGTCCAACATCTGATGACGTCGATATGGAGCCTCCTGAGCACAAGAAGGACGGTTCAGGTGCTACTGATGGGTCGGGGCAAACGGATGAACCCACAAAATCGAGGTTTGGTGAACACCAATGGTACGACAGCATCAGAACTATGTCTGAAGTTGGTGACCTCGATGAGTATGGCAGATTCTGCATAGAAGGACGTGATGTTACAAAGCTAGGACCACAGAACATTGTTGACCTCAACGAAGTGGTCAGAGACGCTATTGTCAGAGGAGGAGGTGACTCTTGGTCAGTGCCAGACTTTATGGCAAGCTACTCTGATAACAACATCAGGAAGCCCTTCTACAAGAGAGTCGAGGCGCCGCAAGATGGTTTCTTGAAAATCATCCCGACCACGGGGGCCCATTTCTTCAACTGCTCTTACTTTGGCGGTGTAGAATATGCGGCCAACTACCGATTCGAGACTGGCAACCGACTCAATACCTACGAGGACAAGGTGAGTACATCACTAAACAGGATCCTGCGGCACAACGTGGGGAAGGTATCAGAACAACAGAGTCTGTCATGTGATGACGCCGGCTGGGTGCCCATCGAGGAGGTGCTCAAATGTGAGTCCATCTGGAGGCACGAGTACGCACGCTGGCCACATGTATTCCTTGCTCCAAAAGGAAGAGCAAATGATCAGAGTGCATGGAATGTCGATGAGGCAAACTACCGCATGACGTTGCTCTTCAAGATCATGTTCCACTGTGCCCGGTATGGACGTCGTGTTCGTGAACAAGTCTTGGCATTTGGTATCAACAAGGACATCGAGCGCACCAGCCTGACGTGCATTGACAACAAAGTCGATGCGAACACGAACATTCCTGATGAAGGTCTACTGCTCTACCCTGTGGCGGTCCGTGCTCCTACGGGGCACAAAGAAGGATCTTCAAGGGACGACGTCTCATTGCTGTCCTCATTACTTTCACATCCAATCGCGCCCAACACCATTTTGTCATTACCGGTTTGTTTCCACATCACCAAGAAGACCAACCTCCGAAGCATTTGGAGGCAGGGATTAATTCCAGGAGGTCTTGGAGAAGGTCATCGGATGTTCACGTTCTTCAACCCGTATGTGCCATGGGATCACAGATCATGGACTATCACGAAGAGCGTTGATACGCGAAAAGGGGACTACATTTGCTTGTTCATCCCGACCGAGACCTTGATGGTGGAATATGGCGGTCGACTGACTGACTCGGGACAGATCGTCTCACCAAAGATCATCCCGTTCTCGGCAATCAAAGGAGGATGGATTCAGGACCCAAAAGACCAAAACAATAAGACATGGCTCCGGTTGTTCGTCCCGTCGGGCGACGACCAGGTAGTTCGGTCTGGAACTGTCAAATCAAGAACGGTAGCCACCAAGGAGTCCATCTTGAGGGTTGCAAGTCAATGCATCGACGCCGAAGATCAACCGTTTGACGAAACCGCCATGGATGCCATGAACATCGTCAACCAATTCAAGAACGACCTCATCAAGCCTGGCGGACAAGAACAATACCTGGCCCGCATCAAGCTGATTGACTACATAGTCGAACGCAAAAGGGTGCAAACATCAGGTTGCCGCCATTGTCCTCACTGTCTCAATGAGACGCCGACAAAACTAGCAGTGTGTCTAGTTTGCTGGACGGAACTGGAAAGTTGTGGAATCCGTCCCTATCGGCTACAAGCTCCTGAAGACGATGAAGATGAGGCCACGAAGAAAGAGATCGATGAAGAGGTTCGACGACAAGAAGAATCGTTGTTCAAGGATACGGTCCATCAAGCACAAGAAAACGTATCTGAATCCAACGACTATGGCTTCAATCCCGACGAGGTCGATTACAACGAAGGCGATGATGAAGAAATGGATCAGGAGGAGGAAGCCCAACAGGAAGACGACGAAATCGTTGAAGAAGACGAAGATGAAATGGAAGTCGAACCTGAAGATGAATCCTCTTCCAAACTTCCAGCATGGACCAAGAACCTCGAGAGCGGCAGCAAGGGTATGCCAGAAGACGGACTTATCAACAATGATGTCTCCGAGGCCGCGGCTCACTTGTATGACAATGCCGTCATGTCAAAGATCATCACAATGTTCAGGCTCTACTACAAACAGAGAGTCACTCTGACCCCAGAGGAGTACTATGAGATGATGACGGAAACCAAGCGAGTCCGGCTGGACCTGGACGACTTCTGTCCTTATACAGGAGAAGACCAGGATGGCAACCTCAAGCGACCGACGGAGCTGGAATTGGATGAACTCTTTCAGCAGAAAGGGAAGAGGAATTCATGGTCAGAAGGAGAGAAGTTATACTCAGGGCGACCCAGAAACATGATGATGCCTGTCATCAAGACTTTGGAAATCTATGAGAAGATGATGGAATTTCTGGTACGTGCTGGGTACACTCCTGAGTCATTAGGCTTTCTCATGCCAATGAACCGAATGCAGGCTGATGCCCAAGGGAAACATGAGATGCGAGTAACCATCAGCAATTTCCTTCGACGACTGCTCAAAGGAACCTTTCCGGAGCACGAGTCATATACCTTCTTTCGCTCTGGGAGCCACGGCTTCCCCAACTGCATCGAACTCCCATTCTTCTCGGTATATCTGAGCCTGAGGGAGAAAGAACAGAGAGTAGAACTGCTCTTTGCAGCCCAACAATGTGGCATTCCTTTACCTCAAAACTTTGTCAGCAAGATGGCTTATGCTATTCAGCTGGCCGAGGCCGAGGCGCAGAGGGGAAAGACCGAGATGAAAGCGAAGATGGCTCCAACTCTTGGCGACGAAGTGGTAAGTGAAGTATTCAAAGCGGTTGGACATACTGCAGCTTCTAAGTTTGCTAAACCGACTGCGCAACCTTCACAGACACCTGAAGGCACAGGTTCAGCATCATCCTCATCGGCTAGTGCACCAAAGGGCAAGGCTATGCCGAAATCCCATGAACCATCAAAGGCACCGCCTGCAAAGCCTTCATCGCCGAAAGCTGCTCCGAAACGTGCGGCTGGATGGGAGAGAACTCCAACAGCACCTCAATGGAAGAAAGTCCGCCGTGAGCAGTAAACCAATTACTTCGATCCGTCAAAATGATCACTGGGCTACAAGATGTTTACCGTCTTTGTGAACAGATGATCAGGAAAAGACCAACTGAGTGGACACTGAGCGAGGCATTAGACTAATTCGCTTAGGTTCAAGAATTTTGATATTCCCAATCTGCACGAGATTCTGCATTGTGCACGTGAATTCGTTAGTTAGCATTGTAAATCTTTGGTAGCGAGGCGATCCATTTCTCCCGACGGGTGAGTGGCATGCTTAGCCAACGTAGAAAAGTAGATGTTAGCTAGCAATAATTCGCGTTGTCTAGCTTGAGGAAGCGCCGATGCATCGACAGCCAAAGAGTAGGTGAACCCTGAACCATTATACCCGACGGGTATGTGGGGAAGGGGGATCCGAATGGCACGTTTTATGTACATAGGCGTAATTCGAGCAGCAGAAGGATTTAATTCAAAGTTCCCACTCTCGTGCCTACGGTTCGAAGATGCCGTAGGCATGGGGGGTGCGAAAGGGAACTAGGTAATACAATCATTTCACATGCTGAGCATGTAGACAGTGTTGCATGGACTGCCAATCATTTGGCTCAAGTCATGCGCGAGGAAAAAGACCGTTCTCCGAACGCCATGCAGTGACGTTGCCCTGCACTACCAGCACAACCGGTACTACAATCAAAAGGGATAATCCAGAACAAGGATCAATTTGTTCACAATATGTATGTATATACATATAAACTAATAGATAAACTATGTAAACCATGCAATTACATACATCCCGATATTGTATCACAGTTACTCATAACTACAATCTTACGGAAGCTTCACCAGACGTTTGGAAGACCACCTTCCTTGGATGGGTGATTCTTAGGGTCAATGTTGGCGGAATGAAACACATGGGAAAAACCCATACATATGTCATTACCAACTTTTATATATCATTTAGGAGTTCTTGAAACCCAAAACAAAGGGAGGTTCATGATTCTTAAAGTTTTTGGTTTACTGCACTATAGTTGTAGTTGGTGTGCATCCCAGTAGCAGCTCGTTGCTACGCCTGGTGATCCGAATATCCAATATGAGCAGCAGCAGCAGCAGCAGCAGCAGCAGCAGCAGTAGACCGGCCTAGGGGTCAAACTCGTTCGGTCCACCAGATGCATATTCATTCGATTCCATGTCTTACATTGATACTGCGGGATTCTCGGGTTTCTGAAGTCCAATGAACATCAAGATTGTCGTGATAGATTCACTGGTGAGCCCGTGAGCATAGCGGCTTTCAAATGATCAATGTTGGGTGAATAGGGTGACCAATCCCTTTAAATGTGGGTAAAACAAAAAAAACAATCCCCCAGTCATCACCATTTTCCTTATTTTCCCATGATTTTCCCACCTTTTTGGGGATCTGTTTGCGGGGCTGTAGCCCCGGAGATCAAGGTCGTGACGTGAGCATCCCAACCATCGCCTGGACAACCAGCGAGTGACCTGGGCGAAGCGCAGAAGCGCAGTAGCGCAGTGGCGCTGAGCGAGGTGACCGAAAACCATAAGAATCATAGGAAAACCATAGCAGTTAATGATGGTTAATGATGGTTAATGATGGTTAATGATGGTTAATGATGCTTAATGATGGTTGATCATCTAATAATGATCAATTATGATGGTTAATGCTGGTTAACGGTTAGCCTCTGGGAAACTAATAGCTTGCTGTGGAAAATCACCATCTTTGATAGGTAAATCCACTATTTCTATGTGCCATTTTCAATAGCAAACTGTTATATTACCAGAGACTAGATCATGGCCAGTGAGAGGAATCTATTCCAAAATGGCAAACTTCTTGCCTCAGTTTATTTAACATAGCGATGGCAATCTATGTCTTATATGGAGAATGACCCATTTATAGATTATCTACCCATTCAGAAGGGTGATTTTCCATAGCTATGTTGAATAACCAGAGGGTATTTTTTTTTAAACAAAATATTTTAGTGGACTGGTCATAATTTACCTAGATCATTGCCAATGGGACTGGTGTAGGATGCCGGCGACCTTTTTTTTCTATTCCCACATAGGTCAGGGTGCAATTTGAAAGCATTTCCTGCCTGTGGTATGAAGTGCCACCTACTTGGGAAGATGAACCATTTTGGCGAGCATATTCCAAGTGTTTAGTTGGCTAACTGACTTTTTACTCGATTCCTGAGGAGACTAGAGAACTACAGTTGCGTATACTTGGGTGAGCCACGGTTTCTTTTGATGCACATAATTTGCACCATGAACAATTTTGAACAGTCGGCTATTTCCCATAAACAACCAGCCATGACCCCATATTTTAACAGCAAAACTATCTTCTCGGGCAAGGGTTAGTATTTCTCGCCACCGCCCCATCTGGCATTTAGGATATTTTGGGTATGTCCCACAATCCTGTGAGCTGCTAATATGACCGACCAAGCTTGGCACGTGGGTTTGTCTAAAAATTGGGTACCTCAAAATCCAATGGTTTATCATCACTTTCCACACAAAATGGCTCTTCCGGCTTACACTTCATATCCAGACGAAGCCACATGTACCATGGATATCTTACAGGTCAAACAGAAAAGTTTGGCACCGAACACGTCTGGTTCTCAGGTTGGAGAGCGTCCGCTCATCCAGGAGGTTGTGTGTCACTTGACGATTTTTCTGTGGCATCTGGGGCCCTTGGACGCCACCGTGGAATTCAAGTTGTGTTGGTCATTTCCAAGAGGGAAACCAATGGTGCACTATGGTGCACTCCAATTTTGAGAAGCCATAAAATGTGCTTTACAGATATTTTAAGGTCGTTTTTGCTGGGAAACCATGGATTTTCCTCCAGTGGGGCAACCAAAAACATGTTAGGCCAGGCCTGGGTTGATCTACAGACATGGAGATGAAAGGCCCAAGTGTTGGGTTCTGATGAATCGTAATCGAAGAGATAGAACGTTGTGATATCTCAAGATTTATCAAGATATCCAATCGGAAACTGGGGTAAACTTCTAGAATCGATATGTTTTTAAGGATTTTTAAGGGGATTACCACCAGCCTCGGCTTGAAGAGATGAGCCCCAGCCCTTCAGCCCTTCGACTGAGGATTACCTGGAGGCCGAGTGGCCCAGACTTGGCTTGCCGCGTGATGTGCACATCTTGGCCTCTTGGTGCCGAGAAATTGTGGGAAGTTGAAGGCGGCACGCCGCTGTTGCCATGTTTGGATCCTGTTTTTCCCCACCTGCCAGGTGAGGGTTGTTAGATTTTATCAGAGCTGTTGTCCTCCTCCTCCGCCTCCTCCTCCTCCTTCTCCTCCTCCTCCGCCTCCGTCTCCTCCGCCAGTTTCTCCTCGACCATGTCTGCATCAACTTCCACCTCCACTTCCGCCTTGCCAACTGTTCGCCAAGCTCTTCGCCAAGCTCTTCGCCAACTTCCCAGCTCAATGCGCACTGCTGGACTTCCCAGCTCAGTGCGCACCGCTGGACCTCAACCTGGGACCTTCCTAGCTCAGTGCGCACCGCTGCACCTCAACCTGGGACCTGCCGAGCTCAGTGTGCGCCGCTGGACCTCAACCTGGGGCCTTCCGAGCTCAGTGCACACCGCCGGACCTCAAAAGCCAGATAGAATGCCAGAAGATATGCCAGATAGAACGCCAGATAGCATGTCAGATAGAATGCCAGAAGATACGATACGCCAGATAAAATGCCAGAAGATATGCCAGATAGAATGCCAGAAGATATACTAGATAGAATGCGAGAAGGTATGCCAGATAAAGTGCCAGAATGTTTGCCAGATAGAATGCCAGAAGATTTGCCAGATAGAATGCCAGATAGGATGTCAGAAGATATGCCAGAAGATATGCCAGATAGAATTCCAGATAGAATGTCAGATAGAATGCCAGAAGATATGCCAGATAAAATGCCAGAAGATATGCCAGATAGAATGCCAAAAGATATGCCAGATAGAATGCCAGAAGATATGCCAGATAGACTGCCAAATAGAATGCCAGAAGATATGCCAGAAGATATGCCAGATAGAATGCCAGATCGAATGCCAGAAGATTTGCCAGATAGAATGCCAGATAGAATGTCAGAAGATTTGCCAGATAGAATGCCAAATAGAATGCCAGAAGATATGCCAGATAGAATGCCAGATAGAATGCCAGATCGAATGCCAGAAGATATGTCAGATAGAATGCCAGAAGATATGCCAGATAGAATGTCAGAAGATTTGCCAGTAACAAAACGTATAAATGTCATGGTGGGGATCACACGAAGTAAAGCATTTTTTTTGCAACAACATATGATAAATGAATTAAATAGAAATATATATATATATATATAGAAAAATAACTTCCAAAATTCTTGTGAAGTACCTTTGTATCTGTTTAGTGCTTAAGCTCTTTTTTTGGGATCGCAGAACATGGCTTAACCTTTCGATTAGCCGTTTTCATCGTGGAATACAGTGCTGAAGGGTAGGTGAAAGCCGCTTAATTAGCCACGAACGATGGCAAATGAAGGAAAATTTGATATCCTGCTACCAATCAATCTTTTTCGCATGGTATCAAAGGTTTACCATGATATGATTGTTCACCAAGAACATCTGGCCCAACTGAAGGGGATGAGACCCCTAAAAAGTGCAAAAACAACCCCGAAAGCCACGTTCCAAAAACTGTATCCTCTGGTAAACCAACGTAGTTAGTTTGAACATCCCCATTTTTGATAGGTAAATCAACTGCTGGTTGGTGGTTGGGAACATTTTTTATTTTTCCATTCAGTTGGGAGTAATAATCCCAACTGACTATATAATATTTTTCAGAGGGGTAGGTATACCACCAACCAGACTATTTCTATGGTCATTGTCAATCGCAAAGTGTGACATAACCAGAGGGCCTCTCCGCCCAGCCGCTTTAGCGGCCGAGGAACTGGGTGCTGGGGACGGTTGGCTGGGCATGACCGTGGCCCGCAACCTGGTCGCGATCTCAGGTGCCGATGCGCCATCGACGGAAATTGGAAGATGATGGCCCAAGACATCTAGCCATGAATGACATCATCTGGTTGGTGGTTTGGAACATTTTTTTGATTTTGTCCATTTATTGGGAATTTTTATTTTTCAACTGACTAATATTTTGCATGATCCCAACTGACTTTCATATTTTTCAGAGGGGTAGGTATACCACCAACCAGTCATCTTCCATTCAGACACCAATTGCGGGCAATGATTGGAAGACACCAACTGGAAGATGATGGGGATATTTTTTTCAGAATTGGTTTCAAAAAATGGCCCAAGTCACTGTGCACGGTCCATTTTTGGAGGTGGAAAAACATGAGATGAGATTGCGGGTATCCCTCATTTTGCAGGACATGCTCAGTACCTGGCTGTGCCTTCACTTGTCAAACATGAAACAACGTGTCACAACTTTGAGAACATCCAGAATGAACTGACTTGACTTTCGCTCAAATCACACCCCCTTTGCAAAAAGCAGACGAGCTTGATTTGCTTGATTGCAACCGTATATCTGCGAGGCTTTTTGATTGCTGCGGTTTTGTGTTGAAATGGCGCCAAATTTTTTTCCCAAACAATCCACCAGTTTGTCTATGTCATTTTCAGGGAATTCCAATGGTGGGACATCCATTTCCAAAGGCTTCTAACCAGGGAACGGACCATGGAATGCCTAGATCTCATCATTAATTAGTATGTCATATATATATACAGTATATATTCTGAATTATATATATATATACATACATATCCATGATTTCCCTGATTTACCAGTTGCATATATCACATGACTACACTGCCATTTGCGTCGCTGCCATCATATCCACCATATCGCCATCATCGGCAGTGGAGTGGCAGGCCAAAGCACCACCAGGGTCACCGATCAAGAGGGCTATCGGATCAGGTGCTGCTTCCGGCTGTGTACTTCTTACTGGTTGGTGGTTTGGAACGTGAATTTTATGACTTTCCATATATTGGGAATATTGATCCCAGCTGACGAACTCATATTTTTCAGAGGGGTTGAAACCACCAACCAGACTGTTATTGTTAGTCATTGTAAAAAAGCATCATTGGTGTGATCACCTGTCATTGTTACTATAGTCATGATCATGCATGATCATTTCATTTACTACTACATTTTTTAAGCTTCATAAGTAGGAAAAGGATGCACCACATTATCACTTGCAGGTGAATTCCTGGTAGAGGTTCAGCTCAGCTGGTCATGGGCGGCACATTCCGAAGAGTTGTAGCCACTGGAACGCTCATCATCATCATCATCATCATCATCATCATCATCATCGTCATCGTCATCGTCATCGTCATCGTCATCGTCATTGTCATCGTCCTCCTCATCATCATCAGCTTCAGGATCAGGCTCAGGACCGGCATCAGCATGAATTTACCAGTAATGACAGTCATAAGTCATAAACATCGTCATTCCCATTGGAGAGGATCATGCAGCTACTTGCAGTCAAACATCTTCATGTTCACACGAACTTTCGTGGAGTTCATGCTTGAGGGGTGAACTTGTCCAGGCAATGCTCCAGAACACGCAAACAGGTTAGCATTTCATGGCTCACAATACCCCTGGATTTGCTGAGTCAATGTTTACTATTTTTCCCATTGGTTGTATACAGTCCACCAGGAATCTCTTGAGTCTTTACTATGGCCCTCTTCAGCAAATCCAAGTACCCCATGAAACTGAGATGAAGCAATTTATGTCAGAAAATGTACCCCACAACCATGAATAAACAGTACCCAGAAAAATGTCGGCTCAGTGGTGGTTTGATCGCAAAACAGCTGCAAGAGACCCATTTCGGTCCATTTTGCATGGAGATGATGATATGAGGATAGATGTTGAGATTTTGGGTGTATAGACACTCAGAAATCCCTTGTTTTGATTTGTTTTGGGGGTTCCCCAATTGGTTGCCACTCTTCTGCTGGTTGTCGTTGGCCATCGTTGGCCAGCCAGAATAACGGCTGTTGCGAAGCTGGCGCAGGTCATTGAGTCAAAACGTTGCCTACAACGTTGTCAACCGGAATTTGCTTCAGGAAGTTGTTTTTTTTGGTTCATTGACGTCAATTGATTGTTCATTTCATTTCTTTTGGACATTTTGGACATATTTTTCTGTCATTTTCCGGTTGTCAGGAAAAATCTGTGCTTAACACCCTAAGCACTGACGAAACTGGCCTGGGATGTGCCCTGCGGGGGCGCCGAGGCCAAAGGTTTACCCTTGGACAACTTGGGCCATGGCGTGCTGGACTGGGAACATCAGCAGGCGGAGCCAACAATCTGATATTTAAGGCTTTGTCGTATACCAATCTGATAGCCATTCATTTTTGGGAAACTGATCGACGGACGAGTTAAGATGAGTTAAGGGTATCATATTGTCAGACAAAGCCTAATATGTGGTGAATCTTGCAGTTGTGTTAAATATGTCGGCAACTTTGAAACATTGAAGTTCATTGAAGTGTGAAAAAGGCTTTAGGTAAGAACAGTTCTTCCCAAAGACGGACGGGTCCCAAAGGTGGTCGGCCCATTCGAAGTGCCGCAGCCGAGAGTTTTAACCAGGTCAGCCCTAGAGTCCTGCGAAGTGGATGATTGTTTGACTGGTTGACTGGTTGATAATTTTAGTAGCAATACCATCTGGTTATGACTAACAGTTTGCATGGAAAGATCCACCATTTTATAGCTAGGTAAACCATCTATAAATGGGCCATTTTCAATAGCTATGTTGGTTTACCAGAGGGTAGTAGCAATAGTCAACAATGACGATGATACTGTAACAACAAGAATGACGATAGTGATGATAGCAATAATCTGCAATAATATGATAATCACAAATATTAGCTAGCATAGATTTAGCATATGTTAGTATGTTAAACAGAAAGTAGCTGGGTATATCCCATTCACCTACTATGGCCCTCAAGATTTGTCAAGTTAACCTGACTTGTCAGGTTTGGTCGGATGGCACCCAGGAGGCACAAAATATCCAGCAGCTTTGGTGGCTCAACAGATTTGGCGATCCCAAGGAGAAATATGTTAATTTTCGTGGGCCTCCAACATCTGGGAATGCATCTCTTTTGCTTTGTTGGTCTGTTCGGATTTTTTGCCGGCTTGAAAAAAGGGGCGAACTCTGCAGAACTCAAAATTCAAGTCTTGGATTTCTGACAAATTATGCACGAAGTTTTGGATTTATAAGATTTGGGTAGGGTTTGTCTGGAAATGGGATCTACCGATGTACCATCTATAGCCATGGCTACCTCAATAGGAAAATGGTGGATCAACCAATGGTTGGGATACCCCATTTTCAGATCCAGTGGATGGCAGGGGACGCTTCACCTTTTGATTGGCGCTGACGTGGTGGAGGAGATGCTTGGCGAAACTTGCCGGGTTGCCACCAAGGGAGAGGGGAGATTGGTGATTTCGAGGAGTGTGGAAGGGGGAGCCACCCATTTTACCTTCGGGAAGTCAACATATCTATGGAAAAGATGAACAATTCCCATGTATGGATAATTTACCTACTAAAAATGGTGATTTTCCGGTCCGGAATTACCAATGGGGGTGGGTCATTGTTTTTTTTTGCGTGACAGGAAGCGCAAGACAGAGAGATACGATTTTCAACGACATGCTGTATATAGATGATTTTAGATATTTTTAGTTCATAGTACATAGGTTCCAGGTGTTAAACTTCTGTATGTAGATGTTTTTTTTGATAGCTAGTACATTGCTAGTACCCATCCATTTTGCAACTGGGAGAAACCCTTAGACATATATAATATATACATGACTTATACTTCTAATTGACTGCAAGATCCATGGAACAGTTCAAAGCACACATTCAAGCAACAAGGACTGTACAGTGCGATCTGCAGCGATCATTCTTATCCCACATCTATTCCCAAAGGAACCTGTTAAATGGGGCCCCCAGATATGGATTTTCTGAGATAGCCTAGTTTTGGCATTCCTCATAGCAGTCTTGAAAATGGAAGTTTCTTGATATTTTTCTGCAATCCCATGACAAAATTGGCCCCGGTTTGTGCCTCTTTTTTTCGTAGAAAGTTGTTTCAGATGGGGCATCTCCAGTTCCAAGAGCTTGTCAGGTTATCATCATGTTTCCTAAATTTTCCTATTCAAGATTGCAACTATATATACTATATATAATATATACCATATATATACACTATATATACACTATATGTATATATACACCATTCTTGGGATCCTGGGATCCTGCCACGTGTTGCAGGAAGCCGTTTTTGGTGTTTTTGGAGCACGGAGCCACGGCAACACGGCACAGGTCATCCGCACGTCATTTGGCACGAACGATCCGCGACTTTCTTTCGCAGAAGCAGGTGCCATGCGATGTGAATCTGTCATCCCATTGGGACCCTGCTGAGTTTCAGCTGAGTTGAAATGGAGACACCCTGAGTCACACCTCTTGCTGGGTCTGCAGAGTAAACTTCGCCCCTTTCCACCCTTTCCAAGACCATCATGTGGCGCTATGCAGGGGTTTCATGCATCTCTGGCTCACTCATTTTGAACATTGTTGAAGCACATGATCCTTTGTGCTGGTATGGGCTACCTTTTGTGAACAGGGGAAGAATAACTGCGCCAGTCACCATGGATGCCATGGATCTCCTGGGACCTCCACAGGAGATGCTGGTGTTGTTGGCGCATCAGCCGGGCTGCTGAGTGGGTGAGTGGTAAGAAAAAAAGCACCCCCGGAACTTGATGCTTCATCATGAGTTTCCGCACGAAGATGACAATTTGTCAGCTCCATGCCCAGTTTGATCAGAAATCCTTGAGTTTCTTGGCCGAATGTGAAGACACTTTTCAATTCCTGAGAACACTAACAATGCACAGCGGGTTGGGCATTGTTCTCGGAGTTTAGCTTCAAGTAGGAAAATGACCCATCTGCGGAAAAAATTGGACTTTTGAGTCTCATCTGAAGTCTGCATTTAGGATTATAGAGGTCATTTCTGCTGAAGCATATCTGATGCGCCAAAGTTTGGACCCATTGCGAGGGTACCCACAATTCTGGGCTAGATACCGTTTCATTCAATATGTTATCCAAGAGCCAGAGCCAAGCATACGGATGATTCAAATGTCTAGGTGCCAGTGCAACAACTGAGAATGATTCCTGATAACACTAGTTGGTGCTTTCAAGTACTGCATGTCCATCCACACCTTGTTGGGACCGTTTGTCCGACGCCTCCTGCTCAGGATGATGCGTTCCCTGGACGCCAATGAAGCGTTCTTTCAGGCCAAAGAATCGATCGTGGTGTTTTTTTTTGGGTCGTTTCAGGAGACTGATTTCACGAGGGTCCTAAAAAGGATACATATATACATCAAATTATATTTTTATGTTTGTATATTATATTATATACTAAATTATGTGTAATAGTAAATATTATATTAACATATATACCATACTATATATTATATTGTACATTATACATGATACATGATATAAATTTAATTATATATTATGTAAATTATACTATATATTATATCAATTGTATTATATATATTATATAATTTATCTTATATATTATATAAATTATATATTATATTATACATTATATCATATTTTATATAAAAACATATATATATATGGTATAATTTATATATTACACATATTATATTATTTCCAATTATATATATTCTAAACTATATATTATACATTATATATAATATATAATATATATTAATATTTACAATATATACTATATTATATAATATTTACAATATATTATATATATGTATTATATATTATATATTATGTATATATATATATTATACACATTATATATATATATTATATATATATACAAAATATATTATATATTGTATATATTTTATATTACATTATAGATTATAGTTTATATATTAAACACATTATTTTTATTATATTATATTATATTATATCATACTATATTATAGTATATTATATCATATTTTATTATATCATATTATATCATATTATATTATATTATAATATATTAAATTATATTGTATTATATTGTATTATATTTATTATATTATAATATACTATATGATATATACTATTTGATATATGATATATATTTGATATATGATATATATATATATATTACATATATGATCCCGTCTTCCGCCCTCGAGGTCCCCCCCCGAATGGGATGGGTCTCCAGGTAGCACCCCCCCCCTTACCTTGCTAGGTTTCTATAAGTACTATAAGTACTATAAGTACTTTTTAAGCCCAGCCAGGCTTTGCAGAGCCAGCACCTGGAGCCCTGGATCGTGGCGGCCGAAAGCCAGGCGCCGGGTCGCTGCTTGGATGCCACGCTTGAAAGCCGGGAAAATCCTTTCTGGTTTCCGGTTTCGATTTTCCCTTAAACCAATCATTAGTAAGATATATATATATTTATATGTAATATATTTATATGTAATATATTTATATGTAATATATTTATGTATGTTTAAAGTTTAAATACTGTAATTATATGATATTAGTTTAATATGATACCAATCATTTGTTCATTGCACGTTTGAAAGTTAGTCACGTTGACCTCCGCTTTCGCCCTTAGTTTGCGGCTGATGGCTGACCCCTCAAGTGCCTGGTGTCACGTCACTGGAGGCGAGCCTGGAGCTGAAGGAAGAAGCCAAAGGTGCGAGATCGGGTTCTTTCAACGATCAACGATACGAAACGGTCATTTACCCATAGTTGATATTTTTACCATCAAAAAAGGGTGATTCAAACCATCAAACAAATGGTGATTTAACCATCCAAAAATTGGGATTGTACCAGCAAACATGGTGATTCAATCATCAAATATGGTCATTTGACCATCAAAATAGTGATTTAACCAACTATAATGGTTGTGTAATGGGGGGCGATTCATGATATTTCATGCAATGAGCTGTACTATCAGTGAATAATAGAAACATCCAAATTACCATCACCAATCTGGTATCTAATGCTATCACCATCAGGAATTCTACTGATTTTTTCATGATCAACCTTCCACCTATCAGTGATTTTTCCACGAGAATGATTGGTTTTGTGTCTATTGGTTGGTGATTAACAGCGTTTACTCAAAAACTACTAGATCTATTGCCTCAAAAAGCCATAATCCACTCGCCGGGAAGCCGGGAAATCCCCATGAAACTTCTGGTTTTTACCGAATGCCATAAAGCTTGGTAAACGTGGTAATCACTATATTTCAGGGGGTCACAATAGGCATTTAATCCCACTAACGTGAAAATGGGCTAATTTAAATGGGTGATGGTTGATGGTTGATATATTTGATATCATTGTTGATGATTAAGATATCGAATTGTGTGGTTAAGTGGTTAATGACTCATATCATTTCTGGTCATTATTGTCATGATCTGTGCAACCAGTATTCTTATGACTGTTCTTTGGTTCATGATCCGGATTATTGACAGTGATTGCTATCATTCATGATGATGCTGGTTGGTCTGTTGGTGATGCTTTTGTTTATCTTTTTTTTGTTGACACTTCTAAACATGTCGCAGAAACCACCTTGTGGCAGGCGTGGTGATTTTACAAATTACTTGTCAAAAACAAGATCAGTGTCTTGACTGCATTGGGGCGCATCCACTGAAGCCTGGGACAGGGCGGCTGCTTCCCTGCTGAGTTGTCCGTTCTACGATTTGATGATACCGCAGTATCTTAGTTGAATTTATTCATGTTGTGATTTCATGCATATCTACTACATGCACATAAAATGCACACAACATGTAATATATATATATTAATATATTAATATTAATATATATATATATATGTAGAACCACATATCTATATAGCTGTCTATAAGTCTATGATAGTCTATGTCTATATCTTATTCTCTCATCATCATCCTTACTCCAATATCGCACTTTTTTTTGATACCAGCCAGTTACTTCCTAGCTTTCTCTGCCGAATCTACACTCGAGTACAATTATGTGTATATATATATAGTAGGTAAATCATTGCACTAAATATTAAGTGGATCTAAATTTGCAATTTTCCGTGGCAAATGGTTAAATTACCACTAACCTGGGGGCCGTGGCTTATGTATGGCTCCTTTGCCCAGGTGGCTTTTACCCTGGAGCGATTCATTGACGGGTTGGGAAGTCCAGCAGTTTCAGCTGGAGCTCGGGTGTGGAATATGAAGTCAATGTACTTGATATTTACCCTCTGGTAAATTAACATAAACCCTGAACATATGCAATTTTTGCTGGAAACTAATCTTCCAACCCCTATCTGGCAGGGTCTATGTTAATTTGCTGGAGGGTATGGAATCTTTACCAAATGGTGGTACTAATGGGCAACCAACAATGGTGATTTACCCAGTAAATGGGGATTTACCAATGAAGTAAACTTATGGTTACCGGAAACGGTGATTTACCAAGTAAATAGGGATGCAACATACTATTAATGGATATTGATGGTACATAATAGAACCAACAATTTTATGGTTTGGTTTTGTCTGAACGTGGGTATACCCACCATTTATAGCCATTGTCATAGGGAAAACGCATGATAAACCAGAGGACGGAGGGGTGCCATATTTTCAGACAAACCCATATAGATGAACCCCTGAAAAAGAAGAGAACAGCAAATGACCATTTAATCTACCAAGACGGAGTTGCAAATGCTTCAAGAGATTTTTCAAATCAGCATTGGTAGGCCATTTGATGTCTATCTTCATTGGGATTTCTATAAATAACTGATTGGTGCTTTGGAACATGAATTTTATGACTTTCCATTCAGTTGGGAATAGTAACCCCAACTGACTTTCACTCCATCATTTTTCAGAGGGGTAGGGCTCAACCACCAACCAGAAAATGTTATTCACCATCATTAACCATATATTAACCATTATTAACAGTATATTAACCATTAGGGTAGGGCTCAACCACCAACCAGATAAAGCAGAAAATATGCAGCGCCATGGATTCTTTGGTCACTGCGCCGGTCCACTGAGTCAACTTCACAGGATGAAGATTCGAAGCTGGTTGGGCTTACACCCAAAGAAGTTGGCGTAAAACCACATGACTTAGATGAGAAGGGGTGATAGTTCAGTTGGTCAAGCGCCTGAGGTTTGGAAGATACCTTCTATGTTTGAAGCCTTCAAACTGACCGGAACTTCACAGGGCCTGAAACGGGCTGGCGAATGTTTTATGTATTTTTCAAGATGTCGACAAAAATCTTCTATTTAGATGGTAACCATGTCAATTCCCTGGCCTTTTTTAAGGTTCAGCGCATTTTTTTTTCGGACCCTGTGGTATCGCTCCAACCTTTTTTAAGCGACCGGATCGGAGGATGAGATCGAGTGTATGAAGGACCCGTGAGTTGATGAAGATTCTCTGCAATGTGCAATCTGCAAATACAAATAAAATGGTATAAATATATCTATATTGTATATATTGTATATATATATATTGTATATATATATAGTGTATATATATATCTTATACAGTCTAGATAGATACTGGATTGTTCAAAAGAACCTTGGTTAGTATCCTATGTCTACTTTTTGTTTATCCTAGTTCACTTTCATTGATATTCCCTTAGGTACCCATTTCCTTGATGCTATAAGAGGCTGTCACCTTATGATTCCAGATGCAGGGAAGTTGACAGGGTCCCAACCTTGCGACCACAAGCTCTTCAGTGGCCAAAGGCCCTAAGGCATTGTGGTCCCTCACCACGTGGTGTTTTACAGCGTCCAAGCGTGACTCGTGGAACTTGGGAAAAGATGTGAAGAAGCTGAGGGCGCTGGAGTTTAAGGTTGATGATGCATTCAACAGAAACCATCTTCCAAAATCATTAATTACCTGTTTCCATGCTGATTGTTTTGGGGATTTGGGGGGCATACAGTAGGTATAGAGGCTCCCACAGAAAAACTGCCAGGTGTACCTTTGGAAAAGGTATGGGAGGTTCAGGTGCAACATTCGGGCATCCGGTCATCCGAATTTGTGGACAACATGTTTTCACATGTTTTCTTGAGTTGGTCATAAATAGTCTCAAGATTATCCACATCCATACATCCATAAATCACCCCCAAATCTATCGATCCATGATTCACACATCATCCACACACCATCCACAGCCGTGTCGTGGCCGCCATCCCTCTGTACGTCGAGGTCTTTGTTCAGCAACGCGGAATACGATGAGGAAGACAAGGAGGCGGATGTGGTGGGGACCCCAGCAGGCGCCATTGGAACCATTGGAGCCCAGCCCAGCCTGGCTGGTCATGGAGTCGTGTAATATGGAGATGTTCGTAGTACTAATCATTCTTAGTTATCATTGACTATACCGTAATACCAATAGCTGGTAATCATTATTCGTCATCATTCGATGTTAGTAGGTCAGTAATATTAATGTTAACATCATATGACAAAAAAAAGGGTGAACATATACCATCATATACCTATCATACGGAATACCCAATGATATTGGGATGACCATACTTGGTCTGCCGATAGATGTAAGACAGTAACAGGGGACATTCACAACGATTACCGATTGCAAATGTCTTGTACTGGTAAGTACTGAACAGTTAATATAAATGTCTCTTACTAATACTGTAAGCACTCAACAGTTAGTATGTGTGTTACTGGATTTTACTTGTAATGTAGAGGAATGTGACATTTGCCCAGTATGTTAATACCCGTTAGTCTGCACAAAGATGAGCCATCATCTGCTTGGGCATTGGTCGAAATGGGCTTCGCCAAATGGAATGGCGATTATGATGACGTAGCGTTATCTACTAAACAGACCATCATGGATTGGTTCAAGGGATGAAACAAAATTGCAGGAAATCCGTGTATGTAATTGATGGTAAACCATGGTTTCCTGTAGATTTCTCTTAAACCAGTCGAATGATACCACTCCCTTTGGGGTTGTTCAACTTTTGTTCTATCTTCACATCATGACGAGGGAGATCCAGCAGTTGAACATAGAACATGTGTTCCACCTAGCGAGCCCCAGTGCCATGAAGCAGGCTTTTGATCCATAGCCAAGTCTCAAAATTGGCTACCCCACAGGTTAGTTTCCTCGCCTTGATTCAAATGGCCACATCTTGGGGTATCATACTGAGGTGTACGACAAGATCGATGTGAAGATGGATCAACGTCGTTTGAAGCAACGTGAGAAGAAGATGCGTGAGCAGATTAAGGCACCTCGGATGGAATGGGACCGACTAAAAAACTGAGCTTTCGTCGGACTTGCAGAGATGTTCAGAAGTCGAACATCACTTGGGTGCACAAATAGAGGATAATAGAGGTGAATCCCCCCAAAGGGGATGTTTATGGAAGACATATGATATATCATCATATGATATTATAATATATTATATGAACATGAGGAATCTTGAGGGTTGAACTCCACGATTCAGCGTCAACTACAGGGGATTTTCAACATGTTCAATGTCCGCTTTATTTCTCACTGTTTGGTTGCCGAAACTACCGAAACTAACTGGGATTTTTTCATCCCAAAATATCCCAAAAGTGAAGGAAAAAACAGAGTCCCGGGATGATGAGTTCGTCGCCGCAGCATCGAATCGTTGGGAGTTCACCAAGTCTTCACCAAGTCGAGGCTGTGAAAAAACAACGAAGATTTTCGGGCAAATCTCAGCAATCATTGGGGGTCATCGAAGTTTTCTTGGGGTTACCCAACCTGGTGGTTACACTCTGGTTATGACTAACAGTTCGCCATGGTATAGATGGCCCTAATCGAAATAGATGGTTTACTGAACTTAATAGCATGGTGATTTTCCATGGCTATGTGAGTCATAACCAGATGGTAAATCCCCATGGAAGAACTTGATTTTTTTCGCTCAGGAACTTCGAGCCCAAAAGCCCACCATCCAACAGCAGTTCGCGGATCTGAAGTCACTCGGATTCGCATCGGTGAACTCCAAAGCTGACCAATTATGGTCTGCCCATTTGATCCATTTGCATTTCTCAATCATTATTAAACCCAAGGGAAATCAAGGGAATCCCTAAGTTTCAAAGATTGTTGGATTGCCCGCAAACGAAGGCAAGGTGAGAATCGGGATCCATAAGTTTCAGTTTCTCTCATGCAGTACATTAGCCATGGAATACCCAAAAAGGCACCCCCAATGGCACCCCCAATGGCTCTGTGATAATGCCAAGGCGAGAGCTGGCCACAGTCAGCAACGAGGAACGGGTTACCCTCCGGTGTAAAAACCTGGGGGGGGGAATTCTGATCGAACGAAATGGAGGTTTCGTTCGCTGGGAAAATCATCGAACTAAATGGTGGATTTTCCAGCAAGCCATGTTTCATTACCGGAGGGTAGTAATTCTGAGATCCGGGTCAAAACAGTGGTTTTCACATATTTTACCATGAAAAGGGATATAGTATGATATAGTCATCCGCCCACTGATAGGATTTCTAATATACCTATTAGAAGGATTCCCATTATGAGATGGATAATCATAGCATGAGAATGAGAGGTTTTAAGCGTGGCACAAAATTGGGTATGGATCAGAACTCCCCGACATAGATTTGGATCATTTCTTTGTATGCTCATGTAGGAATGCAGCAGTTTGCTATGGAAAAGCGCCATTTTTCATGGGTGAATCGCTTCACGAAATGGGCCATGGCTTCCGATGCCGGAAAATCACCAGGTGGACCTTGGTTGGCCACCGGGCCACCGCCAGGAGTGGGAAGGAATTCCTGAAGCCCAGGAGCACTTGAAGGTGGCTGGACCAACTAGATGCTGGATGCAGATGTGATGACCAATATGGCCATAGAATTTTGGATATTTTGACACATGATATTAACTGATATATATATATATATTGACTGTATAATATATATATATTATGTATAATATATATATTTATTATATTTAATATATATAAGAGTGATACATGATATCATGATATGTATATACTTAGATACCCATTAATATCATTAGATACGTATATGACAATATGGGATGTACTAGGTACTAGGGTTAAGTCCTTGCATCGTGTGTTAAGTCGTAGCGGATGAGCGTCTGCCTTGCGGAAAGGCATATTGGGGAGCATCGTAGTATAACATATTGGATAAGCTATGTATGTTGTTTCTATGCTTAGATGTGTGTCTGCCATGCGTTGCTTTTTTTTTTCCGCAACATATATGTTTGTGAGGATTGGTAAGCTTCAAATATGATAGAATAGCATGAAATAGTATATAAAGTGATGTATTCTGGTGTATCAGCCGCGACTTCCAGATCGCAGTGGGCACTGCTTCAGTGCATCCTTTCATTGCGTTTGCATGGTAAAGTGTTCAGGAGATACAGCTGCTTGACATGCAAAACAGATCTAAAACTGCTTGTAAACACATCCTAGCTGCGAAAACCAACTGTAATCTGACCATGGTTCCTGCGCTCGCGTTTCCATGGTGTTTGGCATCGCAGTTGCCGTTCCTAGACATCTTCAAATCATGTCTGTGACATTGGGTTTTCACTTATGAACTGCACCCAACATATCCATCGTCAACGCGCGTTTCCATTGTAAATTGTACACAAAACATATGTGCAAAACATGCCCTGTACATATACCTTTCACCGTCAGGCCATGCTAAACAGAACAACAAGGATCCTAAGACCCATTGCATTCCGTACGCGTTTCCATGGTGAAACCATGAAAATGCTATGACTTAAACGGAGCTGCTATGACTTAAAACGTTCGCAGCGTTTCCATGCGAAAACAAGCCCCCTGCAATGACTTAAAACGAAATGCTATGACTTAACCCTTCCACTTGTATGTGATATTAATTATATAATGTGGGAAGCACTTGATGCCAACATAGCACCCATCAAGCCATGGTGATGGAATGCTGATGGTAAACATGGCATTGGGTGTACCACATGAATCAGATACCTACATCTTTTGATATCACACATATATATATATGTATATTACCTATATTGTGATATTATCCTGTAGATGATGTTCTGTAAATGATATTGCTATTGCCGAAAGATATTATTATCATGTATTGTATTAATCTCTTACTGTACAGACATATGGAGCTACCACCTGTACAAAATCAGCACAAATCTGAAACAACTTCCACGGAATGAGAAAGCACCCTCAATGACACAGGTACCTTGAAATAAAAACTATAGAAGATCGCCATTTTGACTAGGTAGGTCATCTATA